TATAGTTAGTGTGCAGGCGGTGTGCATTCAATGTGGCAAACTTTGGTGCACAAAAATGTGTTATAGAAAAACTCGTCGTAGATAATACAACTAGTGTGGTGGCGAGTTCGATCGTGCACATTCGGCGTAGCAAAATACGTTTGTTGATAATTTGTTAGACATATTCCTTGTAGAAAACACAGGTAATGTGCAGGCGAGTGGTTATTTGATGTAGCAAAATTCGTAGTAGAAAGCACATTTAGTTGTCAGAAGCAAAAAAAAAAAAAAATCGAGGCGAGCTGGTTATAAAAAAGATCACTCCGTACACCACGAGACAAGGAGGAATATCAGTTATTTTATTACTTCTTCTCTCGGGGTTTAAACTACGACCATGTAGCGTGCATTGGATGTATCAAAATTCGATGCCAACAATTCGCCGTAGAAAATTCGTTATCACAATTTCGTCGTAACAAACTGCGCAGGTTAGCATTTGCATTCGACGTATCGGCGGGCAAGTCGAACGCAGCCCCACCAACGAAGGAAGCCACTTTCCGTTTCGTGACTCGAGGAACGTCCCGAACATATATCGAGCTGACGGGTGACGCTTTTAGAACCAAGTTCAAGGGTAGATCGGGGAGAACCCCCTCCGTTCGCGGCGGTCATGCCAAACTTCCTCGTGTCCGTTCCCCCCGGAGGGCAGCAATCGCGTCTCGGCGTTCCCCAGGGAATCTCCCAAATCTCGGCAGAGGGAAATTTTCCTCGCGAGCCTTCGCCACGCGCAGACTTCCTCCAACGCCTAACGACAAACAAGGGCACACCTGTTCTTGGACCAGGAAAGAAAAAGAAGTGGAGAGGCGACAGGGCGTTGCGCCCCTCGTTGTGAACTTTCGGGTGTCGTGCGACGATCTCCGCCGTAAGCCGGCAGAGCGGCTTTGCCTGTGGGCCACCTTTCGATTCGTGGTCGACCTGAAACTGTCGTGGCGGCCGCCGCCGTGGCGAGAGATGCAAGGAAAGCGTCCCACGATAGACCAGTTTGCCGAGGAAACATCTGCTAAGCGTTTCGCTTAAAGTATACGAGCCGTACGGTTGTTTGATGGGCCCCCCAATGGACTCCAATTTTGTTAATGAGAACAAAAATAGGTATCGGAGAAAGCTATAGAATAACTAATCCTTGAGTTTATAGTTTTGAGCAAACATCCAACCCTGAGAAAAACCAAAACAGTGAAAAAATGTGGGAGTTTTTCCTCAATAAAAGTTTATTACAACCTTACGGAATGTCGGAAATAGTCGCATCGTTTATTTCGAAGCGACGTGACTTGAAACTGTTCCACGAAGAACGCACTGGAAGCAGGCAATAATGAGCGGTCACACGCGAATAACCACACTTAAATCTGGTCGTTCCTGCTATGCGATTCGCTATACCTGTCCCGTTGCACTATTTGAGTTATTTCTCAAGCATTAATCTTAGCTAAACAACATCGCGTTCCTAAAATTTGTCTCTTCGATAAGCATGCTCTACAATGAAAAGCAAGTTACCTTTGAGGATGGACTTGGCAATCAAAGCCACCTGGTCGCGCACTTGGGCTCCCCTTTTTTTTTTTGTACGCCACGACTGTCTAACAACAATGAGGCGCTTAGGGGTGGTCGCAAAATACCGAAGGAGTGAAGTGCTATGCCTAAAAAAAAAAAAAAAAAGACGCTAGTGAATTCTAGTTGTTATCTGTACAAGCTATATTTGATGCAACGTAGATATTCGAACGCAGCTGCAGGGTCCCACAATTTGAATGTACTCTTGAAATCTCACAACCTGCGCAGGATACCTTAACGCAGTTAATTACGCCTGGTGAGTTGGACTAATACACCCCTACGGCGAGTGCAGTGGAGACAAAGGCTGCTAGCTTTAGGTCTACCCACTATTCGTTCCAATCAGAAATCGGCGTTGTGACGTCCTCTCTCGTCTCCTCCTCTCCTTCAGTTTCACGGCGCATACGCAACCACCTCCTCACTCGCCCCGGCAGTCGTGAATGAATCTGCAGTCTGGACGCAGCAATCTCTCCCTGGGATCCATTAGTGTACGAAACTACGGGGTGGGGCATAAACCTACCAGCCTCGGGAATTTTCTAATTTAGCTTCCGGTTGTAGTCCAGAGCTCGGGCTGCTGCAGGTGTCACATGACAGCAGCTTCGACGGGAAGCGAACCACTCCTTCCGAGAATCATGCGGCATCACGGAAGCTCGCCGAAAACAATCGATACAGCGAAGCTTAGGAGCGACGCACTCGGACAAAAAAGCGGTATGGTAATTAGGTACGAGAATGGGAATGGATCGCATCGAATCGTGTAGGAGACGAAGAAAAAAAACTAAAGTGTACTGGGGATTGCGTGCTCCATGAAGATTGCGTCTTATGGTTTCAAAGAGCAGAACACACATTGCCGTGGTTTCATTTAAAGCCTTCAAAGAATAACGCCTTAAGCGGCAGCGAAGACAGTTTTGGTAATACTTTTATCTGAAAAAAAGAAAAGTGAAACGAGAGCGACGCGGTAATTACGTACGATACATTGCAACGAATGAAAGAAATCAAGCGTCGTCATAATTCACAACAGCATTTTGCTAAAGCCACCGGACACTTAGGCAGGTAACAGCGTTGAGATTACCTACATGCGCGTTTGTTTTCAAGTCAGCTATTCAGTGGCGGAATGCAGTTCAGCTGTGTAACCTCCAAATTCAAAAACAAGCAAAAAAAAAAAAAAATGTCACGCGACAGTTGTGCTAATTGTGGATGTATCGTGCGCCACAAAGGGGGCCGTTCCCTCGGAGGAGAGGATGGCACAGGGAACAGCTCGGGCGACGAGCGTGAAGACGAACGGCTACGGAACTGTGAAGGGTCAAGGCGCTGGCCTCCACGATCGCGCAACTGTGAGACGCAAGCTACCTTTGTACCTTGCCTACGTGTGATCTCCTTCGGGGCGGGAATGTGAACGGGCAAAAGATGCCATGAAGCGAATAGACCGATCTCACCAGCCAGTTTGGCTACGCCACCGCTGCCGCGATGCATCCAGGGAACTTTACACGTTTTGCCCGTGCGATGAGCACGCTAGAGCTCTGCGCATGCGGAGCATCAGACAGAACGAGCTGTCTCGTGCTCTGCCACCTGCGAACTAAAGTTATGGCGGCGTCACGCATGCGCCGAACGCTTAGTGAGATCGGTCTATAGCGCTTTTGTTAAATTACCCAAGCACAAAGGTGCATGCTGCGAATGTCGTTACACGTGCTGGCTTTTGCAGCAGTAACTTTTTTAAAGCAAATGCCTAAAACAAATGGTATCTTGCACGCGCGTTCGTCAAGGCTTTATTCTGGTTATTTACTTCTAATCTATTACACAGAGAAGGCGAGCGCGTGTACATACATTCCCAGCATTCTCCTTGACGCTCGGGTAATTGAGCAATAGGTGTATTGGACGCACATCGCCAAGGGGCATCGGTGGCTGAGTGGGCCAGAGCACACGGGCTCGGAGCACGTGGAGCGAAAGCTCGTGCGGCAGAACCCAGGAATCCTGGGTTCAATCCCCACTCCAGGCTGTTTAGATCTGGATAAGCATCGGTACCGGCGTGCGGTCGTGTATCACTAATGCATAGTGCACATTAAAAACCCGAGGCTAGCGGTTGTCCCGCACTGGCTAAATTGCTCATCTACACAGCTGAGAGACAAGTTGCCCGCGTGAGACAGACTAAGTTCAGTTCGTACAAAACAAGGTAATTTCCGTTGTTCTCTTATTTCTATAGGAACAACGTTTTGAGAGTTTGTATCCTATAATGCCAGTACCCTTTTCCTACGGTAGATGTTTCCAAACCATATGCCGTCGGGCCCAAGGCGTTGCTACTAATACTTTCGGCCGGTCAATTTTACAAATGCGGCTAAGCGCAACTAACTGTCGAATAAGCTTAACGAGGCGGAAATGGGGGAATTTAAGTGGGGCGGTACAAAAATAGAAACGAGGCAAATGGCGATCATCAGCGTTAACCTCGCCCTTCATGTGGGCCCTAACCGAGAAACCGCCGCCGGTGGGAAAGAGGTGCTTAGCTGAGAACGTTAACTTTAAACTGCAGCAGCGCGCGCACGCGCCCGTTTTACCCGACGACTAGAACGACGAGCCGTTCAGCAAGCTCCTAAGCTAAGTTTGATCGACAGGCAGGTGCCACGATTCGGGATGTAGAACAGTTATAAAATTAGAAAGTCACCTGTCAAACAATGGTGCCATTCAAGTTCTGGATACAAACGTATTTGCACGCTGGGAATCTCCAGGCGTCAACAACGGAAACGTAGATTCACTCGTTTCGCAAGGTCAGCCGACATGGAGATCCTGCAGTTGACAAACTCGGATAGTCAGGAGAGGGAAGTTATTGATTTGCAAAGGGTTTTGGTTGACAGTCCTGGCGACTGGTGGAACGAGTCAGGCCGGCTTCCAGCCCACACTGGAGGAAGCCATGCTAAGTCTACACAGCCGTCAAGCCCGTTTTGTGTGCACTCTCCATTTCATATTTAAAGTGTATAACGCCGTCAAATCTGCTTGCGTGAGCCTCGTCGCTCGTTTACGCATGCTCTCGGGTAAATAAGACGCAAGATGAATCCGCACGACCGTGCCAGTAACTTTGACAGCGATGTACGCACACTAAGCGGATTCAAAGCATGATCAATGGACAAAACCTATGAGCACGATCGCGTATGTACACGCAAAGCGTGCTTTACCAAAATCACTTTCCAAAGCAATGTGTTTCTTCTGTCGTCTGCATGAACGGTGTTGGTGAACCGAGTTGCAGACAAAACTTGGCGGACGCCTCATTTTTGTCACCCGAGGAACGATGCGTGTTGAAGAGCAGCATCTTTAACACCCATCCCTGTTCCTCTTGTTCGGCTTATGCGAGGCGATGAAGCGCTGTTCGTACGGGGAAAACTGATCGGCGTGTTTCGGCGCGCATCTCTCATTGAGGAGCAGGAGGCCGTTTTCAACGAAGCATCACTCACCCGCGATCCCGGCTCCGCAGCGTCCGTCCGTCCGTCCGTCCTCCGGACGCCGGGAGTCCGATCACCCAAGGTCAGAACCCCACGCCGCGGCGCAGACGTCAAATCCCGAGTCACTCTCGTCGAAGTCGAAGGTCGACGACCACCCGCGCACAGAGCTAGCGCGGACGTCACCACCAAAACCACTCACTCGACGGCGCGGTTCTTCGGGTCGAAAAAAAAAAAAAAAAATCACGCAAAGCAGACGGGATGTTTCACTGCACAGACGTCTCGCTGCGACGCGAAGATTTCCGAGAGCCAATGCACCGGACCCCGATGACAAAAGAATCCGCGAGGCAGCACACCACAGCGAAAATCTCCAGATGCGTTGTCGGACTCCGCGCAGAGAGAGATCCCGGCGAACTACCGCGAACGCCGGCCTCAGCTTCGTAAATGGAGGCGATCGGTCGACTCGCTCGGGAAGGCGGCTCGCCTCCTCTCCTGCCCCGGTCTCGCTGGAGGGAGAGGGGGAAGGAGGGATCACGTGACGCGCGGTCGATTCAGTGTTGCGCGGAGAATGCGTTTCACCGCTGAATTTGGCTCGTAGCGTTGTTGGGGCGACAACGCTGGCGCTGGGAATGTGGGGTGTTCGCGTCTGGTAACCCGAAGTCGTCCGTTGGACTGGTACGCGTTTCTTTACCAATTTTGTGGTCGTTTTTAGGCGAACTATGTTGCCGTATCATAGGTCTTTGCCATGTGACGTGTTCACTGATACGAGGGACAGTTAGCGCGAACACAACTACCATAATTTCCATATGAACGAATATCAATATTCCTTGTCAATGTGAAATAACGTTGTTTTGGGCAATTTAATATGTTGTTATTTAGCGAGAAAAAAAAGGTGTGAAGAGAAACCTTGTGAATTTTCTCTCGTTCTCTGTTTTCACCAATAAAATTATCCAATAACCCACTAGACCGGAGCGATTTTTCATATTTATTTGAAAGGAGTTTAGCGCCGTGCTGAGCCATACGATACTTTTCTTTTTAATTCGTAACTTTTGAGTGACGAGTTTCTACTTCAATATTTTCAAAAACAAATTATGCATTATCTGGACATACAGTAGGCTCGCGATGATTAAAACTCGGATATTCCGTACTTTCGGTTAATTCAAACAGATCTGAAAATTTTGATTGTCCCACTATGTTTTTAATGTATTTATAAGCCGCTTAATTCGAACGGCGTTTTCGCTTAATTCATACTTTTTTGTTCCCGCGGCCCCATTAGTGCGCTTCTTTCCGAGCACCAGTGCACCGCAGAGAAGCAATACCCGCGAAGCTTGTTTTCGCGAGTGTTGCTTCCCCGCAGTGCACCGGTGCTCGGAAAGAAGCGCACTCAACGGGGCTCAAGCAGGCACACATTAGCAGAAAACGGCATTCACATTATGTGCTTCAAGACTAGTAATGATGACCAAGACGACATCGAGGATGAGGACCAGCTCAATGGCATCATGCTTTCTAGCCTTGATGCATATAATGTGAACTCCGAGCTGGCGGAATATGCTAGTCTTGACGACGATGTGTGTGTGACTGTGTTTGTCGTGATGACTCATTAGAGGACATAAGGAAGTAATGCCAGCACAGTGCAGCAGTAAGAGTGAAGATGATGATGAAGAAAGGGATGACCCAGTACTACCTGTCACAGCCGCAGAGGCCTTTGAGCACATCGTTCAGCTCCGGAAGTTTCTGTCTGCAAAGGAAGTGTCCCGTAAAGAGCTACTTGCGTTGGCTGGTATTGAAAATTTTGTTTTGAGATCTCATGTACTGACTAAACAGTCCACAATCGACAACTTTTTTGCCGGGTGAATAAACTTAACGTCACTGTTCTTTCTCCAATGTGTTATGTTTGTACGTGCTTATAATTAGGCCTATGTAGAGGAAACTGGCAAAAATCTGCTTTGTATGTGTAGCTATCCATGTAACAAATCATAATGTTGTCTAGTATCATATTTAGATGAATTTCTGATAATTCAAACTTCTGGTAATTCAAATTAAAATCTGTGACTTCCTGGAGTTTGAATTAATGAGAGTCTACTTATCTTCGAGTGGTGGAGCAGGTGAAACGGATTTTAAAGATAATGGACCCTAATCCGAAATTCAGTCTGGCCACTTCGATAACTATCATCATCTAAGGTATGTTATCTGTACTTGTTAATGGCGGCCTTTCGATGGCTGGTGAGGTAAGATTTTGTAGACAAGCAGTATGGGCTGCGCATATGAGGTTGTCGTGTAAATCCTTGGAAATCTTGGAAATCGGCTTTGGAACGCCCCATACAGCTAGTGACAATATAATGTGGTGAATTTTGTCAGGAGCGTTACTGAACTAAGCTCTCCGTACATAGTGGTAGTTTCTTCACACCATCAAAACTGAAACAATTGAGAAAAAAAGAACTGTACAGCGGAGAAACACGCACGTAACTTTTGTGCGTTTGCCGTTGACGAATAGGTACTAGATTTTAACGACCATTAGCATACAAAGCTTTGCGTCGATATTTCAGCCACTAGATGGCACTGAATTTGTGAAAGAGTCTATAGCATTTTATGCATTGACCCTTGAAGAACTTCTCTCAATGAAATGCATCAGCATATCCTCCAGAAAAGCAAATGCTAACTTCATTCTTCCCTTGAACATTTTTTGTTTACATTGCACATTGTACATATCCCTTTCCTTCTGGATGCTTTCGCGCTAGTGTTAGGTTATTTGGCTTACTCATGAATCATTACATCTTCAATCCACATAGGCGTGTCCAAGTACTATTATTAGGGTGACGCCCTGTGGCGTGACCATAGTCCTCAGAGTTGAAAACGGCACATCAAGGGAAAGGGGAGGGGGGGAAAGGGGGAAGAGAGGGGGGGGGGGGCAAATTAACACAGAAAGAAAAAAGCTCTTCAGTTCTCCGTAAAAATGCTCACTTTTCTGGGGCTTTTCGTTGAGTAGTTGAGTACACAAGCACCTTTCTTAGCCCTTCTGCAAAACCTAAGCATGCCAAATATAGTAATGCCCGTACACTCGTCTGCGCGAACCAAACTTGCTGTCAAGAGGAGTCACAGAAAAAGTTAATAATTATATACTCCACTGGAGATTACATTTTTATACTATTTATTTGAAATCACTGTTACGAATAATATATATATATATATATATATATATATATATTTTTGCTTTCTTCCACTTGCCTGGTACCGATTTCGCAAGCAGGCTTCACGAAAACGGGACATTTGGCTATATTCAGACAAAATAACGTGACGGTAGAAATGAACCTCTAAAGCGGGACTGCCCTGGACACAACGAACGCCTGGTCAGCCTCACTATTATACTTTATTTCTTTTTCTCCACTGAAATTATCTCCCGTGCTCCAGTTAAGTATACACGAACTCGATTCTCCTACGTCACGCCGCGGTGGTGGCGCGTCGGGCGCACTTCCGTTCTGGGGTGGTGGGCAGAAGTCGCGGTGCGAGACATGCATTCCTGCGTTCTTTGGGAGAAACCAGACAGAAAACCTGCCTTCTCGTCGAAATGCTGCGATGGGGGCTGTACCAGGGTTGGGCAGAAATATTCAAAAATGTATTTGAAAATACAAGTACTGGGATACATTAAAATAGTAGCTAAAATACTGATAGTAAAAGATATCTGCAAAAATGTATCGCGATACGTATCGGAAATACATCTTAAATAGAGGCAAAAAGTAGTTGGAAATAAAAATACAGGAATACATTTTAGCGAGGGCAGAAATACAAATACAGAAGTACTAATACTGCATCAACCTACAATAACCCAGGCCCGTGAAACGTGCCCACCATGAGTGAGGCAAATGTCACGTCTGGCAAACAATACAACCAACCAACCAACCAACCATTACATTCTTCACAATTGTTCAAGACGCCAACTGAGATAAAGCTTGAAGTTTGAAGTGAAAGTTTTTGATCTCGAAATTACTTCCCCGTAGGCTTGGCACTTTGCCTTGAAGGTAGTGGTTTCGGACGACGAGGAGTCCTCAATGGGCTCAAAAAAACGTTCCATCAAGGACTGACCGCGGTCCCTTCCCTGACATCCAGTCTGTCTGACGAGGGATGCGAAAAGGCTTCGACCTCTAAATAAAATCTGCCACCCTAAATCCCATCAAAACGTCACCACGCCCCTGTCCAATAAGGACGCCCCTGCCAACATTGATCACATGACGTCACGGTGGAATGAACTGGTATCCGTTATCTGAAGGTGTGGCCTTGAACATGAAATTTTACCAAGCTGCTGTATGAAAGGACAGTACGTACGTTCGTTGTACGTTACCTCGTTGAAGATCGTACAGGCCGTGGCATTCGGAATTTTCGAGAATAGTGGACCTCCTAAAGCATCCTGGGAACACACGTCATATCTTCGGTTACGATTTAAAAAACGATATGGTGGCATCCCTGTTGTGGAGGTCCTTCCTGCCGACCCTCCACCACCGACGCATGGATTGCAGTCTTCAAGTTTCGCCTAGCATCATCCAAACAGAGACCTCGTGGATTGCGACCTGATATTGCCGATACAGGTGCGAGCTCTCCGAGAAACAGCGCGCTTGAGACGAGTCGCAGGAGTATAAGTCTGGGTCGGCACAGCGAGTCCACGTATGGCCTCCTTCCTGGGTTTCGGATCACGAAAGCAGCGGGTCACGTTCACGTCGACTGATGACGTGCCCTTGAGCCGTGCAATATTGCGGGCGCAGCCGCAGACGCATTCGTGTAAGTGTGGAACTTCATTGCGTGAGTCATCCTACTATTTCAAGTCAACCACCGCCAGGCTCGTGCTGCAACAGACTGAGACACAGCTTTGCCGGCTGGGTGTACTGTGTACGCTAAGGCAAGAAAGACGGTTATCAGCGGGCATTGGATGCTAACAAACAATGACTCAAGAAATCCCTACCTAAGGACCTGCGGCAGAAAATGCTCTGACTCCACTCCTGGCACGCCACCTGGTTCGCGTTCCCGACTACGCAACACTTCTCAGAAGAGCGAAGAGGACACATAGAAAAATAGTTTGGAGAATCGGAAGGAACCTTGGTCAGCATAGTAACAATGCCCCAGCAACTCCCTGACCGTCGTGCCCTCAAAAGCAAAAAAAAAAAAAAAAAAAACAGAAAACGATTGGTTTTTTTTTTTTTTTTTGAGGGGGGGGGGGGGGGGAGTATTTCTCAAGAAATGTAACGAAATACATTTCGTCTTGAAGAAACATTCCAAATGTATTTCCTTACGGGAACACAGATACTGGTGAAAAAAATGTATCGCGATACAGAAATACAGATACGAAATGTATTTCTGAAATACTATCGCGATACATTTGTATCGCGATACTGTTCAACCTTGGGCTGTACCAAGAGAGTCTGGAAACGTTTGAAGATCAGTTTTCATGTGTTCCTGT